AAACACCTTGTATGCACTCTTTAAATTCGAAGTTGAATTTTCATATACTAAGTCAATTAAATTGATACAAATCTGAAGATGAATTTTCATATATAGTAGCACAAACAAATCAACAATATCGAATTCAAAGTTTCAAATATATCATGTTTTCAGCGGTTAAAAAAATGTAATAGATTAGCTGTTATCACAAAAAATTAGTTTATAATTTTATTTATTTACTGAATAATCACAAAATCTATAATCTAGTACTCAATGATCAAACAAAATCTGAACTATTTGAATCAAAATTCCAAAGTTACTAAAACTCCAAATTGCTATTGATTATTTCCAAATTTTGAGATAAAAATACATAAAAAAAAATTTTAAAAAATCTTGAAAAATGGAATTAAATGAGCCATTGTCATTGGAGTATTGATCGGCGGCAAGAATTTCTCTTTTGGTATATATATGTATATATATGTTGCCCAACAAATTATCCCTAGATAACTTGGGCTTTTCATAATCAGGATCCAAGTACAGAATATAGTGATAGCCCAAGTGATCTAGATCCAAAAATAAAACCTTTGTGCTGATTAGACCCAATATCTCGATTTTACATTGTTTAGCATGTATCCGGGCATATGTGAAAAATCTCAGTTAGGCCCTACTCGGTTCTTCAATTGAAAATTTGAAAAAGCATTCGATAGATGGTAACTTCAGTTATTTTATAAGAAAATGTTACCATAATTCTCTCTCTAAAATACAATAATATACCTATTTTTCAAAGAAATTAGGGGTTGACATTTGCACCACGAAACCAAACAAAGCAAAAGTTCCAAATCGAATTGACCGGTTTGGATCAATTTTTCCAATTGTTCGGTTAAAGGTCGGTAAACAAACTTTTCAATGAATTATGGGATGTTACCTATGACATGTCATCGACATAGACAACAATGTAGATACTACAATTATTCGAGTAAAAAAAAAAAGAAAGAAAGAAAGAAAGAAAAGATGTGGCGACTTGGAATTCACAAATTCATTACAAAGAAGAAATCTTTTTTAGTTCAGTATATTGTAAGCAATTAAACTCAATACCAGGATCTTTAAAATTCATGATTTCACATATAAATTTGATTGATCAAGAAACATACTTTAATTCATGGTAGTAATTGAAAGATTTAAATCTGCAAAAGAGCTCTCTCTCTCTCTCTCTCTCTAATGGAATAAATTTAATTTGATGGATTTTATTCACGTTTATAGATAGAGAGAAACAGTTCATATGCCATAAAAATAACTACCCACTTTTCCATCAAAGTGGACAGCTATAAACCACTTGAATTAATTTATTAATAATATTACTTGGGCAACATTAATAAATCTTACATTCGCCCACTTGGTTCATATAATATTATATCATTATGTGGCTTTATATCATATTGTGCACATGAAATGCTAAAATTCTTTCATACATTGGTCACTTAATATATCATCTTCAAGTAAAGACGAATAAGAGTTATGGCAGTTTTACACCATCATTTCGGCATAATTCCTTCTATATACTATAATGCTAGTCCTCGCTTAACATGATATGAGAAGTTCGATACATTCCAATAATATCTTAAAAAAGACTATCATCGTTAGCATCCACACAATCTATTCATGTACATGTACCAATAACTATAATAGGAATAATATTTTGTCAAAAAAATACGTAAATGATCTCAAAGTGTCAATACATAAACAATAGAAATTACATGATAATGTCAATGATGATTTGTAATACTGTTCATTAAATATATTCAGTCGTGATCCTTTCGTTAACGGATCCACAATCATAAGATTGGTGCTAATATGCTCGATTGATACTTTCTGTTAGGGATGGATCCAAGATCAGACTACAAAATTTCAAACGGGGTTACTACGCGGAAAAAAAAAATTTATACATAAAAAACTGGTTTTTTACCAGAAAAAATAAAATAAAAAATACCTTAAAAAAAAGCTCTTGAGCCTGAGTGTGGGGGGGGGGGCTACAACCCAACCCAGCTCCCCCTAAATCCGTCTCTGCTTTCTGTTTTTAAACTTCTTTAATAGCAAAATACTTCAAATCCATGTTTATAATACCTTTAGATTACTTGTCGTTCTTTCAAAAGAAGACTGTTGCAAAATTGTCACAATAAAGTTTCAACGGCTTGACAATACTATCGACGATTTAAAGCTTCGAAATAAAGTTTCGCAACCAATTTTCCTTGAACCAAGGCCTAAAAGCATGCCAGCAATGACCAACTGCCTCATTTCTTTTCCATGAGATAGCTCCTCCAATGACTTCTAAGTTATCAGATCTCTTATAAGTGAGCATGTAGTTTTTCGTTCCTCGCAAATATCTTAATAATTTTTTTGCAACTTTCCAATGATCAAATCATGTGTAACTTTGATACTGCCTAGCATTCCGACAATAAAATTGATGTCTAGCCAAGTATAAGTCATCCATTAAACTACCAACAACAGATGCATAAGGAATAGTTATCGTTTGTTTGCATTCCAATTCGTTTTTAGGACATTGGATGAGAGTAAATTTGTCTTCTTTTTGAATTGAAGCTACACTTGTTGAACAATTTTCATCTTACATCTCTAAAACTTTATTGATGTACTTTCTAAGACAACCCTGACAATCTTTGTGACATATCTCGAAATATTTCAATTCCAATCACATAGGCTGTCTCTTCCATATCTTTCATTTCAAAATTTTTAGAGAGAAATTTCTTTGTCTCATGTAATATATTAAAATCATTAGTGGCTAGCAAGTTGTCATCAATATACAGAATCAAAAATATAAACTTGCTACCACTAACTTTTAGATATGTTCATCGATCAATGATGTTTTCCATAAATGTAAAGGAAGTAATGGTACTATTGAACTTAAGACAAAATTGACGGGAAGCCTATTTAAGTTCGTAAACTGATTTCTTTAACTACACACCATGTATTTTTGTCCTTCAACTGAAAAACCTTCAAGTTAATCCATATAAACTTTTTCATCCAAAATTCCATTAAGAAATGTCATTTCCACGTTCATTTGATGTAGCTCTAAGTCATAATGAGCTAATAAAACCATTATAATTCTAAGTGAGTCTTTTTGGAGATTGGCGAAAATGCCTCCTTGTAATCAATGCTCTCTTTTTGAGTAAAATCTTGGACGACAAGTCTAACTTTATATAATTTGATATTAGCATTAGAGTCACGCTTAGTCTTCAAGGTCCATTTACACTTAACTCTCTTACATGATTCAGGTAATTCGACTAGATCTCAAACTTCATTAGCTCCATTGATTTCAACTCATCTTTCATAGCTTCTAATAACTTTTCAGAATTAGCACTCTCGATGACCTGTAAAAATGAAATTGGATCATCATCAACAATTCTAAAGTTAAATTCAAACTCTTGCAGGGAAATCACATAATCATTAGAAATAGCAGGTCTAAGGTCACTTTGTGACTTTCTTAATGCAATTTCTTGGGGCTCATTTAGTACAGGATCATTAGTAGCAACTTCATTGTGAGATGTTTGAGCATTTATTTGTTGTTTTGGCTAATCCAGTTCAACTTTGCTTGTGACGAGCAGATAAATGTGTCGAGAAAGGCTGCCTCTTGTTGAATTCTACCTATTGATATTTTTACCTCTCATGCTCTTTTCTGATAGTCATTATTTGGGACAAATAATGTTTTGAATGATAAATTTTTGAAAAATGTAGAGTTAAAAAGTAGTGAAAAGTTTTGAATCTACGTACAGAATATTTTATTGTATAAATATATAATTGAAAAATAAATATGTAGAAAAAGAATTTTGAAAAAATTCCATAAAACATGGCATAATTTGCTCTTTAATACATACTCAAGCATACACAATACATACCATGATACCTATACTTTCTTTAAGTTTCAACTCCTCTTGAAGACATGAGAACTCATGGTACCCTACAAATTTTTTTAGGAGTTGGAGTAAAAATCTAAAAAATCGTGTTTCCTATATATATATATATATATATATCTTGGAAATAGCACCCAAATCCTTTACCGATACTAGTTTTGCAAAACCAACTGCTCTGCTGTCTGTAGGCCTATTTTTGCAAATTATATTATTCATGATTTTGAGTGATTTTTACTTTTTTTAGTTGTAAAGGAATTGGATCCACAAATTTAGCGCTTAATGAGATTATAAATAATAATAAAATGTTTGCATTTAAAGTAACTTAAAAGTTATACTTTTAACATGATTAACAAAGTTTTGCTTATCAAAATTAATTTTTGGTGGCATTCTCCTTTTCCTCGTCTTTTTTCCTTTAATAGGTCACCAAAAAGGCCATTCTTCTACCTTCTACACAACACAAACACAGGTGCCAAACTGGCTTTAGGCCCATGTTCTAAAGAATCGTCCACTCATTATCCAGCCTTTTAACAGTGTCATTTTGATGCTATCCCTTTCGTAAACTTTTCAGTTTTTGTGGGTCCCTTTGTCCCATGTGCTCTCTAGTCCCTTCGCCACCATTTGCAGCAGTTGCATTTTCTTCGATCTGCCCCCACTTTCTAGTCTCTTCCCCAGGACTAATGTCTCTCTATCTCTTCAGGATCCAGTGATAATTTGTATTATTAAAAAAACTCTGCGCAAATTCTGTACATTAACTCCTTAATCTTTTCTGTTGAAATTTAAAACTTGTTTAGATGAAAAAAAACCCCATTTTTGGGTTAAAGCTTCAAGCTTTTTTGCTGTTTCTTGGGTTTCTGTGTTCAGAACTCTTGTTTGTCGAGTCTCAAACCAGCCCGGATGATGCTTCAGCCATGTTGGCTCTCAAGAGGAGCCTCATTTTACCGGAAAGTCTTGGGTGGTCGGACCCGGATCCGTGCAAGTGGAACCATGTGATTTGCGCTGAGAAACGTGTCTCTCGGATCCAAATCGGGCACCAGAATGTTCAAGGTACACTTCCTCAAGAACTTACATCTCTTACTCAGCTTGGGCGATTAGAACTTCAATGGAACAATATTTCTGGACCTTTACCAAGCTTGAAGGGGTTTAGTTCACTGCAAGTATTGATGCTTAGTAACAATCAGTTTACTTCCATTCCTGCTGATTTTTTTACTGGCATGTCTTCTTTGATATCTGTTGAGATTGATAATAATCCATTTTCTGGTTGGGAAATTCCGGAAAGCCTTAAAAATGCTTCATCACTTAAGAATTTCTCGGCTAATTCCGCAAATATTACTGGAAAAATTCCAGCGTTTTTAGGAGGTGACGAGTTTCCTGGTTTAACAAACTTGCATTTGGCTCTCAATAACTTGGAAGGGGAGTTGCCATCGAGTTTTTCGGGATCCCAGATCGAGTCTCTGTGGTTAAATGGGCAGAAACTTGATGGAGAGATTGGTGTTATACAGAACATGACATACTTGAAGGAGGTTTGGCTTCATGGAAATGGATTTTCTGGTCCATTGCCTGATTTTTCAAGCTTGAAGAATTTGGAGAGTTTGAGTTTGAGGGATAATTCATTAACAGGGCCCGTTCCCATGTCTTTGGTAAATCTTGACTCCTTAAAGGTTGTTAATTTGACTAATAATTTTTTGCAAGGGCCAATACCAAAGTTTAAAGACTCTGTTTCTGTGGATATGACAAAAGATACCAATAGTTTTTGCTTGCCACAACCTGGGGATTGTGATGGTAGAGTGAATACTTTACTTTCTATCTCAAGATCAATGGATTATCCTAGAAAATTTGCTGAGAGTTGGAAGGGGAATGATCCTTGTAACGATTGGTTTGGGATTACTTGCAACAATGAGAACATAACCATTGTTAATTTTCGGAATATGGGGCTTATAGGTACAATTTCTCCTGATTTTGCTTCGCTCAAGTTGCTGCAGAGATTGATTCTTGCTGATAATAACCTTACTGGCACTATACCGGAGGACCTTGCCACTCTGCCTGCACTTACTGAACTAGATGTATCAAACAATCAGCTTCATGGGAAAGTGCCGGCTTTTAGAAGTAACATCATTGTAAAAACGGATGGGAATTCTGACATTGGGAAGGATAAGAGTGATTCAAGCTCTCCTGGCATGTCTTCTCCCAATACACCCAATTCTGGTTCTGAACATGAAGGCGGTTCTCAAACTGATCATAAGAAATCTCGAAATTGGATTGGAGTGGTTGTATTTTCTGTAGTTGGTGGTGTCTTTGTGCTTTGTTTGATTGGAGTTGCAGCTTTCTGTCTGTACAAGAGCAAACAGAAGCGTTTTAGCAGAGTTCAGAGTCCAAATGCTATGGTAATTCACCCTCGTCATTCTGGATCAGACAATGGTAGTGTAAAGATAACAGTTGCAGGATCAAGCGTCAGTGTTGGTGCCGTTAATGAAAGTCATACTGTTTCTACCAGTGAAACCAGCAACATTCAAATGGTTGAAGCAGCCAACATGGTGATCTCCATTCAAGTACTGAAAAATGTGACGAATAATTTCAGTGAAGAGAATATACTGGGTCGAGGAGGCTTCGGGACAGTTTACAAAGGAGAATTGCATGACGGAACAAAGATTGCTGTAAAAAGAATGGAATGTGGAGAGATAACCGGGAAGGGGCTAGCAGAGTTCGAATCTGAGATTGCTGTTTTGACAAAGGTTCGACATCGGCATCTTGTCGCGCTTCTTGGATACTGTATTGACGGAAACGAAAAACTTATTGTTTATGAATACATGCCTCAAGGGACACTAAGTAGGCATCTTTTCAACTGGGCAGATGAAGGGCTACAACCACTGGAGTGGACAAAAAGATTGACCATTGCCTTAGATGTTGCTAGGGGCGTAGAATACCTACATGGTTTAGCCCACCAAAGCTTCATACACAGGGACTTAAAGCCATCCAACATTCTTCTTGGGGATGATATGAGGGCCAAGGTTGCAGATTTTGGTCTTGTGCGCCTTGCTCCAGAAGGGAAAGGCTCTATTGAGACAAGAATTGCTGGAACATTTGGATACCTGGCACCTGAATATGCAGGTAAAATTTTCCTGAAATCAATTGTGATCTTGATTAGTTCTAATTTTCTGTCTTATACTCAAGTTTGAATCTTGGACTTGGCTAACATCTTCAGTTATTATTACAACCGCTATGTTCTGATTGCAAATAAGTTCGTGAAATTGGTTAGTAGTCCATATTGACAAATCATGTTTCTTCAGCATAGTAAAATGAAAACAATAGATAGTATTAGCCTTTTGTGTTATACTATTAGCAGCCTCTACAAGGGTATATATACATCAAATTTTCTGCACGTTTGGGAATTTTTTTCCCCCACCTTTAAATTTTTTTCATTAAATTTGATAAAAATAACCAGGTAAATGATGATTTCTTAGCCTGTAATGGCACATAACAATATACTTTTGGTAGGAAGAGCACAAAGGCACCAATCACATTGGAACAGTATTTTCTTTCTGTTGCTTTCTTCGTCAATTATTTTGGCTTAACTTGAAATAACATATCATGCCTGACTGATCTGATTAACTTTCTGCACGTGCACCCAACCTTTATATATATATATATATATATATATAATGGAATACATACTGGTAATACTATGCTTAAATGTGTCAGACTTCATGCAACAAATTTCTTATTGCCTTTCTCTTTTCATGTGCTCGGCAGTGACTGGCAGAGTGACAACGAAAGTGGATGTTTTCAGTTTTGGTGTGATCTTGATGGAACTGATCACTGGGAGAAAGGCACTCGATGAGAGCCAACCTGAGGAGAGCATGCACCTTGTGACATGGTTCCGGCGAATGCACCTGAACAAGGATACATTCCGTAAGGCCATCGACCCCACGATTGACCTCAATGAGGAAACTTTAGCCAGCATCAGCACTGTTGCTGAACTGGCGGGCCATTGTTGTGCAAGGGAACCATATCAAAGGCCCGATATGGGTCATGCTGTCAACGTTCTTTCTTCTCTGTTAGAGCTCTGGAAACCTTCCAATCAATGCTCTGAGGACATATACGGCATTGATCTTGAAATGTCTTTGCCTCAAGCACTTAAGAAGTGGCAAGCATTTGAAGGTAGCCATGAGGACTCATCTTCTTCATCCTACTTACCAAGTTTGGAGAATACTCAGACTAGCATACCAACACGGCCATATGGATTTGCTGAGTCATTCACATCAGTGGATGGAAGGTGAAAAAGATGGCAGTTTGATTATGGCAACTATATGACCCGATTTTACTTGTTAAATCAGTTGTGGTTCTTCCTTGATGTTTTAATTTTCTCCCCTTTTCTTGGTTTTTAGTCATCGCTTATTTGAGTCATGTAGCTGGATTTCTTAGCTTGAAGATTTAGAAATGGATTTAAGGTATCTCAAATATTAGTTTGTATGTTTTTCACTTGCTATGCTTTGCCTGATTTGTGTAATTGTATTAAAGGCGCCTTGCACAAATGTTTTTTAGTAGCGTGTTAGGTATATATATATATCGAAAGAATCTGTGTTTGAAATGTTTATTCAATATGTACACACATGTTTATCCATTTATTTTAATGCATTTTAATTTATTTGAACAATATGTTGCATACAACTAGCGTCAAAGGGGCCTATGCACATTTTTATTCAATTTGTGCTCAAATTTTTATCCAACTATCATAATGCAAGTTTTTTACGTTCAAATGTTTGTTTCGTGTCAGCTGTATCGAAAGTGCAGAGTGTATGTTGCATACATTCTAGTAATGAGAAACACGGAATGTTCAGGTTCGACTCATTGGACTGGTCTCTTCAAGTCCTTTATATAATCCTGTTGGGTAATTTGAACAAAGAAAAATAAGCAAAACAAGAGATAAGAATAGGGATAAGGCAAAGAATGGCAAGAGATATCTGATAGAACCATTCTTGTTTGATTTAGTGTACAATAGGCTGTAGCTGTCCCGATCACGCATGGTTTCCCATTTTGTGTGTTTTTGCGTATTTCTCCTTTCTATTAATTTAGTGGGATGGACCAGAAAAACACATGGGGGAAGTGCAACACCCAGTTTTCTAAGCAATCTCATTTAAGAGGCCAGCCAATGTCCCCGGTCGTATCTAAAATAAAAAATAAAAATAAAATAAAATAAAAAAGGTTGAATCCCAACTTTGACGACCCTACCACCCCTCCTCTGGAACATCATAAGGGAGATAAATCGCGGGATGTGTCCCAACAGACCAGGGAACAATAGCTTGTCCGTACACTGTCCCCTCACAAAGAATCAAATTCCATATCTCAGGAATCGAACTCAGCAAGGTTAAAACTTCCTCACTCCTGTCATTTGCACCACTGAGTTATGCCTCGAGGGCATCCTTGGTCATATCTTCTCTCCTGGACCCTATAATAATTTTGAAAAAAAAAATCAAAGAAGGAAAATGAAAAAGCTACCTTAATATTTAAGCATAAATAAATCGTATTGGATGATTGAATCCGCAGAATTTGAATTATTAAAAATTTCAAGTTAAGCTTGCTTACAATGTTATTATTTAAACTTAACCGAACATGCACTCAATGTATATATACAAAATATGTCTTTAATGATGCACCTACTTTAGCTTGTTTCCTTAAAGAACTAAATTTTTATTATTTTAAAAAGGTAAAGCAGCTGTCGTAGTTTGATTCAAAACCAAATCTCAGATGCAATGGAGTACAAGAGAAAAATTTATAATCTCCCATGCAAAGGAGTGGTTGAGAAAAACAGTTTGGTTTTAAAAATAATTATTGTACTTTAGTAAGCAAAATTATCTTCCAACGAAGACATTTGGAACGAATCCAATTCTTTAAGAACACAATCTGAAGTTACTGAACTACTTTGTTATGGCAGAAACATTTTTAATTTGATCACGTAAAAAATGAATCCATCTATTAGAGATCTTCGTTCAAATTATCCTTGGACAGGGACGGAGTCACGATTTCACTTTTGGGAGCTGAATTTTTTTTAAAATGGGCTGTGCTGTTCGGCCAGGCCAAGGCCAAATCCAGGCAGCCAGGGCCTGATATAATACACCAAGTATTTTCAAATCTCACATAGAGAAAATTAACCAAGAAATTGGACAAAACGACTTCAAGGTTCATTCAATGTTTGGGCTCAGAACTTATCATTGTACCCTTCTGTACAATGGTAAAAACACCAAAACACACCTAAACCCACAAAAGGAATCCGAACGCAGCTACTTTGACGAGTCAAAATGGAAAACCCTTAGACAGACTTCACTCACTCCTTTAAGAAAGGATCACTAAGATTTACTGTTCACACAGAACGAATTGATTTTCAAATCACAGAGAACTTGGGGGAAATTCACGAAGAAAACGAAGGAGTAGAGAAGCAGAGAGAAGGACTCGATTCTAGAGAGTTCAAGAGTCACCAGAAAATATCCCACGGTCAACTAGAGCAACCACCAAAGGTCTCTTATATTGAAGACAACATCACCGTAGATCAGCTAGGTGATCCAATGGCTCGGAGTAGCACATGTGGCCTCATGTTGGGCTCGGGTAGTTGGGCCTCTACCTTTGAATTATCGGGCAATGGAAATATGATACCAGCAATGGGCTAAGCCCTTTTCATCACAGCCTAATAGATTGAATTGGATTTTGGCATCACAATCCAAACAATCTCCACATTGATGCCAATGACCATTAGACACACTATAGAGACACAAAACATATTCATTTTCTTCTTTAAGTTCCACAGATCATTATACCAAGAGGTTCAGTGTACCTACATTACCACAAAGGTTACCCCGTATCAATTTTCAACATTTTCAAACAAGACCTAAACTTGTTAAGAGGCAGTACCTTGGTTCCCATATCAGCAGGATTAAATTCAGTTGGGATCTTTTCAAGTACAACAGATTCTTTATGAATTATGTCTCTTATAAAATGCATTCTAACATCTATATGTTTGGTCCTTTCATAAAATACTGAATTTTTACACAGATAAATTGCACTTTAACTATCTGAGTAAACTACAATAGGTTGTGACAGGACATTAATTTCACATAACAAACCTTTAAACCATAGTGCTTCTTTTATGGCTTCAGTAGCAGCCACATATTCTGCTTCAGTGGTTGATAGGGCAACAATAGACTGTAATTGTGATTTCCAACTCACACAAGTGCCACACAAAGTAAACTTATAAGATTTGGTTGATTTTCTATTATCCCTGTCCCCAATATAATCTGAATCTACAAATCCCTTTAATATGACATCTTCTTTACTAGGATTAAAACATAAACCTAAGTTAGATGTTCCTTTTAGATACCGAAGTAACCATTTTAAGGTTGTTCAATGTTCAGGGTCAGGATTGGCATAAATCTACTTAGGTTACTAATAGCATGAGCTACATCAGGTCTTGTACACACCATAGTGTACATAACAGACCCACAGCATTAGCATAGGGGACCTTTTGCATGTATTTCACATCAGATTCATCAACTGGGCACTGATCTTTACTCAATTTAAAATGACTTGCAAGTGATAAAGTGACAGTTTTTGATTCATGTATAGAAAATTTAGATAAGACTTTTTCAACATAGGCAGATTGTGATAGAAAAAGAACCTGTTTGGATATATTTCTCTTAATATCCATACTTAAAATTCTTCTAGCATGTCACTTAAAATTCTTCTAGCATGTCACAAGTCTTTCATCTCAAATTCAGAGCATAAAGATCTCCTAATATCATTAATATCACTAATATGATGTTCAATTAACAATATATCATCCACATAAAGAAGCAGGTAAATAATCATAGATTCAATTTTATCCCTTTTAAAATATAGACAATGATAAAAAAAAGCTTCTAAGAAAACCTACAGATGACACAAAGTTATCAAAGCGTTTATACCATTATCTAGGTGATTGTTTAAGTCCATACAATGATCTTTTTAACAAGCACACATGCTCAGGTTTCTTATTATCAACATCTCCAGGTGGTTGACTCATATAGATAATTTCATCGAAGTCTCCATGCAAGAAGACAGTTTTTACATCCATTTGTTCAAGTTCAAAATCATAATGAGCAACTAATGTAAGTATAACACGTATGGTAGTATATTTAACTACAAGTGAGAAAATTTCATTATAATCAATACCGGGTTTTTGAGTAAAACCTTTTGCCACTAATCTGGCCTTAAATCTAAGGGGATGATTCGCTGTATTTCCTTCCTTAATTGTATAAATCCATTTACAATTAACTATGAATTTATCTTTAGGTTTAGGAACCAAAATCTAGGTTTTATTTTTTCTTAAAGAGTTCTTTTCCTCTTCCATAGCCAATTGCCAGTCTTTTGAAGACTGACAACTCACAGCCTCCTCATATGTTTTGGGCTCCTTAAAGGCCAAATCTTGATAATTCAGTAAAGCTAGAGATAGGTAGTCTCTCATTCTAATGGGTTCCCTTATTTCTCTTCTAACCCTATCCCTGGCTAACTGATAACCTTCTAATGAATTTTCTTCTTCACCAACTTCTTGAACATCATATTCACCTTCTATATTTTCATCAGAAACTTTCCCAATCTCTTCCTGAACATTATCAGTATGTTCAGGAGGTGACAAAGGCTCCACCTGCAGCCTAGTCATCTCCCATCTGACCATACTTCCACTACCTGTTGATGGGGAACAGTGAATGGACATAAACATGAACAAGTGAGCCATGAGTTAAGCTTAATATTAACCAGAGAGAATTCAGCTGTTTCATTTATTAGTTTATATGCCTAAAATGGACCAATGGAAGAATAAGACAAACACAAGCTCTGCCTTGCAATATCTGTTGGATAAGACAAACACAAAGTTATTAAAATCTTATTTGTGATCAACCAAGTTACAAGAACGATTGAATGGATTAGTTTTGATATCTGTTGAGCAAGATTTTTTTAGAAAATATTGATTACGAAAGTTTAATTTGTGAGTTTGCTTTTAAAAATGCGAGAAGAAATATTTTTACACAATATGTAGTATTTAAAGCTTTACACTTGACTTGATTTATATATTTTTTTCAATGTTTGCTTATATGGAATTGCAAAAAGAGGCTAGTGGCTTGGATAGTTCTTTATTGATGACATATGAATTTTGATGAAGTTCGAAAGATGCTTTTGAGATTTATTTATGTTTTTCTTGTTTATCATGTTTTATTTATAGTTCTTTCTTGGCTCTGCCTGATTCTAAATACATTGCTTGTTTGCTAAGTTGATTTTTATACTGCCAAATAAAATAACATGCAATGTAACATTTCCAACTCCAAATATTACCAAATTAAAAAGAACAGCAATTACAAATTTTCCATTTCATCACCACAAGTTACTTTCATATAGATTCGAGACAATCAATTTTCAGAAATAAAAAATTAAATTAA